TCAAGAAAAAAGAAGTTAGGTAAGTAAAAGTGTTCTTTGAAAATCATTACAAACAGAAAGCTGGATTGCAATGAGATGGTAAAAATTAGTCACTTTTATCTTGAAAAAGAAAGCTGTAATTCTGAAACACAATTAAGAGGGTAAACTGGTAGCTTTTTAGAGTATAAGAATTTGACATTTTTATATTACGTTTAGAATATTTTAAAGTACAGTAGCAACCATGATTAATCTAGAGATATACCAGTTCCCTTTCACTGTGTAGTTTTAAGCTTATATCAGAATGACTAGAGGAAGCCACTCGCTAAATTGGGATGCAACTTTGGGACAACTCAAAAATGAGCAAGAGCAGTGCTGTAACTTAATATGCTTTAACATCATTTTCTGTCTCATTTCTATGTTCCCTTTGTTACTCAATGCTAACCTGCAAGATATTTTCAGAATTGTCCTTTCAGAACATTGGGGGACACAACAGTCTATGAAGTTTGAATATATTCTCTTATTGATATTTCATAACCACAGAAATATACAACTGATCCACCCTTTGCAGTTGTAGAAATGGATTCTTGTTGCTAATGAATTATATTGGAGGGGGGATTTACTTTCACAAGGAATAATTTTATAGAATGTTGCTTACAATATAAGTGCAGTTCTATACATTATTGCTCAGGAGGTTAAATACGACTACAGCTTTCTACCTCCTGATTTGAAGCTTACATCTGTTAATGAAATAGAGAGGTATAGTATCAAATAGTCTGTTTGCATGTTTATTTTTTCCCATACACTTTTAATTTTAGAAAATCACAAACCACATTATGTTAGAAGCATAACATTTGAGACAAGCCTTATCTTGTAGAATACAATAATTACTTATTGTAATCTTATATCAGATTTATAGTAAAATGTACATAGAAAATGAAGATTTGCTATTAATACATGCACATTGCTGTTATGTCCTGTGGTTGAAGGTATTCTTTCATTTGAATATCATCAGTACAAATCTCAAAGTATTACAACAGCTAATTCCCTCTCTTTCCCCCATAATATCTACTGTGTCAGCTGCCACACTACTTTTCAAATATGTAAATGTAATATTGGAAAATTAATAAAAAACTTTGGAAGTGAAAGTATTCTTTCCCCTTTGTATTTCTACAGTGCTAGAGTTCGCTTCACCAGAATCAGAAGTTCCATTGAATTAGTATTGCCTGCAATTCATGAAAAAAGCAGATCAAAAGAATGCAAATGACAAATAACAGATATTTTGAGTCGCTTCAAAATGAGATGGGTTGCATATAAATTTAATAAATAAATAGTAAAAATAAATAAATAACAATATAATTTTGAAATTTCCAGGATATTTTTTGTTTTTTGTTTTAAATATCGGATTATCTAAATTAATCTAAGAAAAAAGAAGGAGAATTGAAGAAAGTGTGGCTTAAGGACAGCAGGATCGGTTAAGTTCATGAAATAGTAAGGACTTCTCTAGCATCAAGGCTTCTCCAATTACTAGGCTGCTTTGAAGTCTTAATCAGGCAAAAACTTGTTAAAAGATAAAGATTCTTCTCTGTATCAAATACAGCTGCAGGGGGGAAACAGTACATCTTTTGGGGTTTTTTTTGTTTTTTTTGTTTGTTTCCAGTATTAACCCCAGCTTCAGAGACTACACATGGTTAGTCAGTTGCTACTAGCATACACTGTATATGAATTCTTCTGAAAAGATTTTTAAATACAGCATTTACTGTAGCACTGATTGAAATATATATTATGAAACAATGATTGAAAAATGTGATCACCTCTTATTTCTATAAAAGAAACAATAACCAGTTAGGCAAACTTATTTCTCACAGCTTTTGTCTAAATTTTGGTATGAGAAATTCAGAATGATGCGATTCATAATCACTTGGGAATTATGCCAATTACAAATATTGCATTCTTTTTTTATTCCTCTATTTTGCCCTTGGAATGCTAAAGCTAGAAGGATTTGGAAACATGAGAGAATATGCTATTTTCTTTCTCTGTTTGGCTTGAAGGCAGATTTCACATATCCGTCTCCACTGTCCTTGTCTTTTTTGTCACATGGCACTAAAAAAAAAATAGAAACAATGAACAGTTTATATGTCCTAAAGAAGAATCAATTGTGCTTCATTCCTTGGTAAAGCAGCGAACAAATTCTTTTTATATTAACATACTATAACCAGTAAATTTGCTTATCTCCTTAAGAAAGAAAAGTTCAAAGCAAAAGTGATTTTTGGAGATCCATAATGCTCTGCAGAATGTGTAAGTTGCAGGTGCTATTTTATAGCAGGGTTTTATAGCATATTTTATAGCAGGATTTAGCAGCAAATTAAATAATAAAGATGTTAGGAAGTTTAATTAACCTAGCAAAGTTGCAGTTGAATTTAAATATGGAATTATTGTTACATACACCTATCCAGATATGTAACATACCAGGTGTTTAATGGAGTGATCATAATTTTATTTATAATGTAGTTGGTTATACAGAATGAATGCTGCCACTGCTCAAGAACACATGCACAATTTCTACTCATAGGGCTTCCTCAAGCATCAGCTGCACTACCCTTTCCCTTTCTTCCTCAATACTTCCAATTCCCAATTTATTCCATAAATCAGAGCATATCTGGTATAAATTTGGGACCCTTGAATTTAGAAGATGAATTAGAATAAAGCTCCAAAAATATTGTTCTCATCACTCTTTTGCAAATTCATATTCGAGATTGGACAGAAAGAGTCTGACATTTTGCTTCCTTAGTTCTTGGATGTATCCCCAATCCTTTACACAATGATGCAAGCATAAAAAAACTATTACAAATGTGGATATATCTCACACTTGACTGTGTGTGCACCAACTGCAGCCCTGTGTTTCTTGTTCTCTGGAGATGGTTAAATGGTTCTTCTGGGCTAGAACCCACTTCATTTTATGCATGAGATATTATTCACAGTTGGTATACCTTGGTCAGAGGAAAGAGAGAAAACGAAGGATGAAGATATTATAGACCACAATAGAATTTAGTAGTAAAATCAAGAAGGAAGAATCTGAAGGAGCAATAAGAGATAAAGGGATCCTAAAAGGTAGAGTTAGGAATGCAGATTATTATTAGAGATACAAAGAGAGTGGGGACTTTTTTTACTGCTCTGGAAAAATCTAGTTTAAGTTGCAGTTACTGTTTATCTTAAGCTGTGAGTTGTTTCTTTAATTATCCAAACAGAATCATATGAAAGACAGAAGACATGCACTCGGTGATACTTGTCTGCAAAGCATAAGCATATAAGTACATAACACAAGTATTTCTTCTGAGGCTAAAGATTACACTGCATTTTTGCTATTTACTGCCTTTAATGATCCTCCATTTTTAAAAATGTAATCTTAAAAGAGTCAAAGTCCCTGTTGCTGGCTGCAAACTAGTAAAAACTTGGAAAAATTCGGCAGCATCCGCTGTAACTTTTTGTTTCAACTGCCTTAAAACTATGTCAATACGTCCTAATCTCTCTAGGTTGATCAAAATTATTTGGCTGTCCTCGCATACCCAACACCTCCCAATTTAGTACCGGCCCTATGATTTTCACGCTTAGTCATATACTGGTTAACTTGACACTGAAGTCACTGATAACGAACAAGCAAAACTAGATCTAACACCCATCTGGGCAGCAGCCTTCTGTACACTCACACCCAAGGTCATTATCTCCACTTAGCATTATCCTTTGGTTGGAGTCTGAAGCTAGTTTCTCAAGTATTCAGCAGCATTCATTGGAACTTCAGGGTTGGAATTTATTTAAAGCTACAAATGCTTTAAATAAATCTGGAAACAGAATATCTGTCAAGCATTCTAATTCCAGTGCAGCTGACAAATCAGTCGATGAAAAATAATAAGCTGTTTCTCTGGATGGAGAGTGTACAGTGCTACCAGACAAATTCTGTAGCTATTCTATCTTTTTTTAATTCTCTTTTCATTTTGAAGAAGTAATGACGGCAGAAGCAATGGAAAAGGGATGCAGGGTAAGAGAAGACTGCAACATCTAACCCCTTAAATAAGACAAGAAAAACCTGTACAATAAAGACTCAATTGGAAACATTAACTCGTGTTTTCCTATTCAACTGTTATTTTTCTTTTAACTAAAAAGACAAATATATTAATGAGTCAGAGATGGACAGCCTGAAAAGGGCTCATGACTGACAGCGCTAAGAATCCCCTTGAGTCTTTCTTCACTAATGTTTCACAGTGGAATCCAGCCCTTGCTGTAGTTCAGAGATCTCAACCTTTGCAAGACTAAGGACTTTGATTCCCAGAATTCTCCAGCCATGTTTGCTGGGGGTTACCAAAATTACTAAGGTTGAAAAAAACCTGCTGTAGTGAAAGAGGGCCAGCATTTTTCTAACTTCCCATACTATCCAGGTATGTTGTGGCCACCAGAGAAGACAGTTGGGATGGTGATGCATATGGGATAGTTTAAAGCAGTGTTTATCAGAATGGTTGACTGGTGAATTCTTGGAATTAAAGTCTACACTTCTTAAAAGTTGCCAAGGTTGAGAAACACTGTCTAAGGCTTGGGAATATAAACAAATCAGGTTAAAATGAAAGGATGTATTACTCCCTAAAAATATTTTGAACCTATTTTCCTATGCTGAAGTGATTTAAAGTTAAAACATTGCAAAACAAATAGCAAAACAAATAACATGCTTCCCTTATTATTTTTATGATAATCTGTGTTTTAAGATGATATTTTCATGCCTTTAATGTCTTTTAAAGCCACTTACAAAGGCTTGACAGCTTTGCCCAATATGTCATCCAGATGTGAATGACTTTGACAGTCTTGCCCAATATATAATCCATATGTGAAGGACTGGCCATCTGTAAAAGAATTAGAATCCAATATATCTAGAGGTCATTAAGTTGGGGAAGACATTTCTAAGCCCTACACATTGTTCACCATAACTCCCTTTTTTTTCTTTTGCCCTCAGACGCCAGTCTCCCAATTGAATAAACATGGGTGATTGGAGCTTCCTAGGAGAATTCCTTGAAGAAGTCCATAAACATTCAACAGTAGTGGGAAAAGTCTGGTTGACTGTCCTTTTTATCTTCCGGATGCTTGTCCTTGGCACAGCTGCAGAATCTTCCTGGGGAGATGAACAGTCCGATTTCAAATGTGACACCCAGCAACCCGGTTGTGAGAATGTTTGCTATGACAAAGCTTTTCCAATCTCCCACATCAGGTATTGGGTCCTTCAGATTATCTTTGTCTCCACACCATCCCTGTTATACATGGGTCATGCAATGCATACAGTGCGTATGCAGGAGAAGAGGAAACTTAAGGAGGCCAAGGAAGGAGCAAGGACAATCCAGAACAACTGTGACTCTTTTTCCCAGCAGGATTACCCAGCACCAGAGAAGATAGAGCTGTCCTGCTGGGATGAACCCAGCGGGAGAATAATTCTTCAGGGCACTTTGCTGAACACTTATGTCTGCAGTATTTTAATCCGTACCACTATGGAGATTGCTTTCATCGTTGGGCAATATATGCTCTATGGAATCTTTCTGGAGACCCTCTATGTCTGCAGCCGGCAGCCTTGTCCTAATCCAGTCAACTGTTATATCTCTCGGCCAACGGAAAAGAACATCTTTATCGTTTTCATGCTTGTGGTAGCAGCCTTCTCTCTCTTCTTAAGCCTGGCTGAACTGTATCACCTAGGGTGGAAGAAAGCTAAGCACACCTTGTCTCAAAAAATCAACCCTACACCAGCAATTGGCAAACTGGAGGGAGACTGTCAAGTGAAGACAGGTGAAAGCTGCACCCCTCCTCCAGATTTTAATCAGTGTTTAGCCAATCCTACTGGGAAATACATCAGCCCCTTCAGTAACAAAATGGCCTCTCAGCAAAATACAGTCAACTTTGCAACAGAGAGGGTTCACAATCCAGATGATTCAGGTGGAGAAGTCCCCTTTATCCAAGTAAACTATATGCAAAATCCAGAAGCCAGTGTAAATTCTGCACCAAATCTGAATGCACCAAATGGATACTTTCAGAACAAACGCAGACTTAGCAAAACTAGCCACACAAGCAGTAAGGCAAGGTCTGATGACTTGTCAGTGTGAGGTGCTTCTACTGGAGTTAGAAGAACGGAAGAAGCTGTTATAGCAAATACCTGCAGTTAAGTTTTTGAAATCCTGTCAGTCTAAACTCTGGATCAATTAGCCTATTAATTCACGTTTAGCTGACATATTCCAAAAGGACTTTTTGCATGCTCTGAATCCATTACTGTTCCAAAATAAGAACTGTTGCATTTCAAAACAGCAAAGTAACTTTAGGCGTTACATGGTGTTCTTATACTTCAAGTGATTATCTCATAATCCTGCACTGTTAAAACAGTATAATCATTGCAACTTTCCCCAAGAACCTTGGAAATTATAGTTTGGGAACAATGCTGAGGAGTCTCTTTTCCAAGCCCTTGCACAGAATTACAATTCTTAAGAATCCTTGATTGGACAAAGGAAAGGAGTAAATTATAATTCTGGAGAAAAACTCAGGGCATTTCCACAATCCTCTGTGGGATTGGCTCCAGGTGAAATGGATTCATGCTGTAATCTCTTTTTGTGAACTGAGTCAGGTTATTTCTGACTCTTCTCAGGTTTTTTTGGATTTTTTTCCTTTTAGATCACAGAGGTTCTGCAGACTTTCTGGGCAGTCTGTTTTCTCACTAGTGATAACTATTGTCTTAACTTTCCTCTCAGTTCAGTAATAGCTCAGGTTAGCTATTACTACCAACCTTTACAGAAGTTCAACCTTCATGGACCTTGACTTTTCTCTATGTGTTATTTACAATATGCCTTCCCCTCATTAAATCCAGCCACGATGGTCTTGTTGCAAGCATGGATAGTTATTGGAAAAAGTCAGAACAGACTTTACAAGTGATGGGGGCATTAAAATACAAAAATGGAACAGTGACAGAATAGATTAGGTTTTTTAGGTTTTAGGTTTTATTAAATTTATATCCCGCCCTTCTCCTAGCGGACTCAGGGCGGCTTACAGCAAGTTAAAAAACAGACAAACCATACAAAATACTAAGTTTAAAATACAATTAAAATGAGATATTGATTTTTTGCCGTTTGAGCTTTGCTTATTTTCTTTTCTTTTAATTGAACTTTCCTGCCTCAGCTTCCCACCATTGCTGTTTTCAGATTGTTTTGCCAGCCATCAAATGCACATAAACCCCTATACTAAAAACACACGGATAAAGAGATTTCTTTTATCTTTGTGTGGAGTGAGGTGAGGGGATTCCGTTAGTCTATAGCTGACAGCAATTCAGGTAATGGAGCACTTGAATTACATTTGATATTCTCTTTTTTGAAAAAACTAAAGGATGAGCATTGACTGACTCATGGGGGTTCCTCCATTTTCCAAGTTTCAAAGACAACCGATGTGAAGACAATAGATCAGATTGAAAAGGCTTTGTGGGGGATTTGGGGGAGGACTATGTGGGAATGTTACTGATGTGGAATTTGCAAACTAAACTTGCAGCCAGTATCATGTTGTGAGATGTGTACAAAGGAGCTGGGATATATAGGACTATTTTTCTCTCCTCCAAGATGAAGCTTAAGCACTGGCTTGCTGAATCTCAGTATAACTTCAAATTCTCATTTACAGTGAAAACATAGGGCCAAGGCCTCTCCACCTGTCTTAAAACCATTGGACTATTTGGAAACATAGCATACCAACAAGCTAATTCCCTTCTCCTGGAAAAGTAAAATTTTACTTTTTCTTCTCTTCTCAAAACTATATAGAAAACCATGCTAATATCAATTAAAATGCAATGAATTCTACTTGAATTTTTGATGTGTTTGTCTATAATAAACCTTAAATTCTGTTTGGCCTCATAGTATTAAATGTGCACCATCTCAGGAGGATAGCAATGGAAAATACTTTTTTTAGTTATTTCAACAAAAATATTGAGATAAAAAAAGTTTCCCACTGAAATTAATACTCCCGTATGAAACAAAGTAATACTCTGCAGAACACTAATAAATTGTGGCTTTTTAAATATGATATTCTCTATTCATTTTAAAGTTACTGCTGCTGGAACATGGTCACTAGGCCAAAATACATCGAGGAACAAAAAAAAACCCAACAACCAAAATCCAAAATCACAGAGATAGACAATCTTACCACATCCAAACACTTTTCTCGTTAGTAGTTTTTTTTCAGTATAAGGGAATCATAGGAAGACAGCTGTTGGTGATGTTATAACATCCACTGGAAAAATGGGGTTAAAGTTCATGAAGCTTTGAAGAATTATTTTTACGATTTCAGGTGTGGACCATTTTCTCCCAACCAAAATCTGCTATGCCTGTTCTGAAGACTTCATGCAGTGTTTTAGCTAATAGCTCTAGATATGTCTATTAATTTTCAGCATTTAATGATGGAATTTTATGGCCATGATCCTGCTGAGGTCAGAAAATGCCTAAAAAGTTGGCTGGATCTCTTTAAGAAGTTAATAGTATCAAAGTCAGTTCTGGTTGTTGCTAAATAATTGCTGTGGTGAAATAGGTAAGCGGGGAGACATTGGTAGGCGATGAGCTACCAGGAGGCATTATCAGGCAATTAAAGAAGTAAAGATAATATTTAAGCAACCAAATCAGAAGATCCATCTTCAGGAATTGGGAGGCGACTGAAAGATAAACAATTTTTATAGCATTTCTAGCACAATCTAAATTCATGCAAAATCTACAGGAAATACAGTTCCCATGTAATAGTAGTATTTCTGCCTCTTTGGGAAGTAGAAACATCTTTTCCTGACCTTCAAACATTTAACTTCAAGCTGCAGAGGGGCTAGAAATATTTGAATTTATTTACAGGAAGCCAAAGTCTGTGATTCTTCTTCTAAGACTTTAACATTGGAGTCACATTTACTTGTTAAGCAACTCACACATGACTGTTTTGACTGGGATTATATATGGTGCATAAATGATTGAAGAGATTGGAAATTAATGCTCTCACTGTTTTCAAGGCAAGTAAGTATTTTCTCTTGTTTCTGGGAAGGAAATTAAGGGCATTGGGAGTATTTGTTTTTGTGCTAAAGTACTTGACAGAAGACTGAAAAAGTTTGTGTCTTTAAGCTTCCTTTCTTTGTGGTCTATTTTCCTCTGTAATGTAAACCCAAGTTGGGAAGATGCATGTTATCTTTGATCATGCACTGTGCTTGTTATGTTTTAATAAAGTTTGGGTTAAAACTTGTCTTATTCACATTTCTCTTCTCACCTCTACATCAAGAGTGTTAAACTACTGGCCCGCGGGCCGGTTTCATCATATGCCCACCCCATTGCTGGCAATGCAAAAAGAGTTTGTGATACGTCACAACATGTCATGTAACGTGGCCAGTTTGACACCCATGTTCTACATGATATAGAGCCAAGTCATTTAAGGGAGTGCCTGGTTCCCATTGTTTCTATCCATCTGGGGGAAAATGGCAGAGTTTGTATCCTCCACATTTCTCAATTAATTAAAATCATCTATTGGATCCATCTATTTGTCATGACATTTATCCTCTAGAATATAGTTGCCACCCTGAGGCCATTCCAGAAGACCTTGAAAACATGGCTATTCTCCTAGGTCTTGGTGAACGGGGGCTATGGTCCCCTGGTTAAATGCATTTCTGGTATAGAGAGTACATTGTACAATTATATTTTGTATTCTGTTATTTTATTTTACATTGTGAACTGCCCAAAGTCCCTTTGAAGTCCAATGATGTCAACATAATGAAATAAATCATGTTTGTTTAAACATGGGAAGCAGAAAAACATTGTCCCACTCTTCCTTGAGTAGCTTCAAATGTTTCAGAGTTATAATACACACACACAAATCTCATTTAGCAAGAATGTTAGTTACGAATATTTGTTAAGTTCAGCACCAGAGAGCCATAGAATCCCCCTAATTGCTTAATAAATACCTTAGTAATTAGTATTATCTATCCATGCATGCACATTTCCTGCAAAGTTCCTGGAATATCTTATAATAATAGATTTCTATGTAGGAGAACCACCTTACTCTATCCCAGTGTTTCTTAACTACAACAACTTTAAGATGTTATGTGCTGGCTGGGAAATTCACATCTAAAAGTTGCTGAAATTGACAAATACCCTTCTATGCTATATAGGGATCCTATCCTACCTTCCCCTGCCTTTAGGAAAAATTAATATTGTTAATTATAGAATGTGACTGGAAAGATTGAAATTCAATCCCACCATGAATTTACTAGGTAATCCTAAACCAGTCATTTTTTCTTCACTTCATCTACATTATAGGACTGTTATGGAGATAATAAGGGAGGTATGGAGAAAACCATACATACTACTCAATATTCCTTGGAAGAATATAACATGTAACAAAAATATAATGCAGTTTGTGATTATAATGGTATGAGAACAGGAGGAAAATATGTCCATTTTTGTTGTACTGTGTGATTTTGCTGTGGCTATTCCTGTATTCCTTACACCATGGAATGTTACCACAGTCAGAACAATTTTGCAGCACTGATGCTAAAGCTGTTTATGATCAGCTGTTGCTAGTCAAATGCCATTGCTGAGTTTCAACTACATCAGCAAGGAATTCAGAAACAAACTGTTTTTCCCCCCACTGAATTAGAGTTTATATTGAAGTTCTGTAAACAGAACTCCTGGTGCATTTTACTTTCTTCAAAAGTAGGTTTTGGAGCAGAGAATGCAGTATCTCTCTATAAATCAAATATGTTGCTCAAAACCATTTATTTATTATTGTAAACCATTTTTAAACAATTGCAAATTTGAATGTGGGGAGCAATTGAAAGTAATTTACAATCAATTAAATTAGGGGACTTTAAGCCTGACCTTAACCCCCAGCAATTCCATATTCCTCTAGTGCAGTGTTTCTCAACCTTAACAATTTTAAGGCATGTGGACTTCAACTCCCAGAATTCCACAGCCAGCATTGCTGGCTGTGGAATTCTGGGAGTTGAAGTCCACATGCCTTAAAATTGTCAAGGTTGAGAAACACTGCTCTAGTGATTAGTAGCAAGGGACGAGACAACAAAGTAATGAAAAAGAGACTGCTTACAACTTGCACC